TCTTGAGTGTTTCATGTAGAGATGGTTTTGTGGCTGCATAAGTTCTTAGGGATTGGATATCTGGGAAAGATTTTAATTCTCCCTCACTGATGAAGCTTAGCTTGGCTGGGTAGGTTATTCTTGGTTGAAATTGTTTATCCTTTAGGACTTTGAAGATAGGGCTCCAAGCTCTCCTAGCCTGCAGGGTTTCTGCAGATAAATCTGCTGCTATTCTGATTGGTCTTCCATGGTGGGTGATCTGGCCTTTTTCTCTTGCTGCCTTTAGGATTTTTTCTTTTGTGCCTACTTTATTTAGGCGAATTATTATGTGTCTAGGAGTTGGTCTTCTCATTTGTTGTCTTGCGGGGGTTCTCTGAATCTCTTGTGTTTGAATTTTTGTATCACTGATTAGATAAGGGAAATTTTCTTGAATGATCTCGTGGAATGTTTGTTCCAATGTGGTCTCTGTTTCTCTTTCTGCCTCAGGGAGTCCGATTATTCTTAGGTTAGGCCTCTTGAGGTAGTCACTCATCTCTTGAAGGTTTTGTTCTGTCTTTTTAAGCTTATTTTCTGTGTTTTTAAGAGTTTGGGTTATTTCTATATTTTGGTCCTCAAGCTCTGAGATTCTTTCTTCTGCTTGGGTAATTCTGCTTTCCATGCTTATCAATTTGTTATTTATTTCATTCACAGTATTCTTTATTACTGTTATCTCAGATATCAGCTCCTTCCTAGTTTCTTCTTGTGTCTCCTCAATTCTTTTTAATCTCTCCATTATTGTTTTGATATCTACATTTGCATTTTGAGACCCTTCATTCTGGGGACTTTTCATTGTTTGTGTTCCAAAGTCAATTTTCTCAGTGTCTGCTCTCCCAGGCGTCTGGGAGAGACCCATACTCTTCTTTTGGTTTTTCTTCATTTCTGTAGATTTTTCTCCCTTTCCCCCTTTCCTCCCCCTCTTCAATTCTGTTTTTGAGGGACGTGGGGTTGCTTTTTATTTCTTCTTCTGCAATGACCTGTTCTTC